TATTCTTATAATTTTAATACCAGCCATTTTATGTGCAGATTATGCACTATTAATTATGCGAAAATGGTCCTGATATGTGAAATTCACAATCGCATATGCTATGTAATAAAAATCAGATTTATGCGCAGATTTTGCAATTGCAGATTTTCACTAGCCCTAGTTCGGGGTTCTACCAGGGTCATAGGTTAAAAATTAATCTGTTAAAATATAGTAATCTAGCATTTTTTAAAGTAGAAAATAAATAAACTCAAATCAAGCAAGGTTAAGAAATCTTTCAATACAAAATCTAAAAATTTTTATTTAATATTTGAAGTATAGACTGCTTTCTATATTAATAATTCTAATTAAGAGTTATTATATTAACTTTTAAGAATTAATATTAAAAATTTCATGAATTTCTGTTTAACCTGTTTGACCCAGATCATGATCTGGATCAATATTTAACATATTCAGGTTGGTATTTTCTAATCTAGTTCAGAATACTATATTTGATATCCAAACTAGAAAGTTTATTCTAAAACTGAAGATAGATTAGTCATGACAAAAAAAATATCAAGATATGAAGATGAGTCAATAGAAAAGAGACAAATTTTTTTTAAGTAAAAGTTTTCTTGACTTTAAGCTTAAATATTTTAACAACTATTTTATTAAATTTAATAAATTTTTTTTATTTTAATTTCAAGATTAAAAAAAAAAATTTTTAGCAAATTTGATTAAATAATTGTTAAGGTATTTTAATTTAAAAATTAAAAAAATTTTTACTAAAAATGATTTGTCTTTTTTCTACTAACTCACCCTTATATATCATTTTTGAATATAGTCAAAGTAATCTTAAATAATGTAGCCTGATATTTTAATAATGCTGTAGTATATTGGTATAGTTTTTGTATAATATATGATTTATCAAGCTATATTGATGAACCTAGAAGTGATCGCTAATTGTGTAATTATAATATTTTTTTACTATGACTAATCCACTTGGAAACTGAACTTACCTCTAAACAGGTTGCTATTATTGAAACTTAAAAGACATAAAATATTAAGAAGTGGGCATAACTTAAATAGTTCTTTCTGAGGTTAAGCTTTCTTCTTTAATAGACTCTCTAGGATATTTAGTACCCAAACCAAAAGGTTTATTCTAAAAACAAGTAATGGAATAGTTTTTGCTAAAATAGTATAATCTTGTAGAACCATATGCTCCAATTTTTAGAATTTAAATTAGGATTTTTTAGGGTTTGTATTTTTTTTAAATTTTAAAAAGCAAATAACTTTTAATATAAAAGTTTTTAAAAATTAATTTTATTATTATCATATTCACCTCTTAAATACGATTCTAACAAGCCCAAAATCATCCAAATCCAATTACAGGATCAAGAGATAAAGCTATAGTCAAATAATGATACATCTCATATGTCGGACAATTCCCCCAAATATTGGGAGATGAGAATAACAAACCAATAAAAAGATCGCACTATTAATTTTGAAAATTGGACCACAATCGCTTGTCAAAAAAAGGGATACTATTCCGGGGGTACTATATGCAGCGTTATACGGTAATATACAGCTGAATAGTGTCGTGGTCTATTTCAAGTTTGCTTAAAGTGCTGAAAAATATGATTCATGATCAATCACGTCGTTAATTAGCATTTAGGCGGTACACATATTACGATAGATCAATGCAAAAAAAAAAATATTATATAGAGTGAAATTAGAAACTGTCACATTCATCTGTTTGGCAAGAACTCATTGTATTTGTGCAATGATTCAACTTTGATTTGGTCGCATGATGATTTCTATTGGTTGATATATTAAAAAAAATTTTTTTTTAGACTCCCGTTTTGCTGACCCGGCCGGAATATGAAAACCAATTATATACAAATAAAAATTATTTTTTAATTAACATATAAAAAAATTTTATAATATAGTTATTTGTATTAATAAATACTACAGTATAAAAGTAAATTAAACCCAAAAAATAAATTTTTTATAAATTAGTATAAAAAACATTAAAGACTTCTAATATACACTATACAAAATCTATAAATGCTCAACAAAAATGTCAAACATTTAAAAATTACTTCGAAACTTTTTTATTTCTACCATAACACTCTGTACGCCAACAGGTTGATGCTTGATCCTTACACTGCCATCATTCATTCTTTCTTCAAGTATGTTACAGAATTTTGTATAATAAATTATCAATTGTCCTAAAACTGCATGCAATATGGATGTACCATTCTTAAAATTCGAAAAATGTTGAATCACTGATGTGTTAATAGAAGTTATGGATTGGCGCCAAGTCGCGGCAAAATCTGAAGAAATCTGATCAAAAACACCTAAATTCACACATTTTGTGCATAAAAAATTAAATTCTTATAAATTGAATATTAAAATAAATAAATAAATAAATTTAAATAACATACTTGAATCAATGGCAGCAATATCTTTTCCCTGATCTACTTGCTTAATGAAAGATATTAAACTGCCAAAATAAGGCTGCAATTCCTCTTCCACAAATCCTGATATTTGACCGTTTAAAAGCTCTCTAAAATGATTAACTTCGGCTTCAACAGCTTTTCCACCAGTTTCCTGTAACGACAACATTAGTTGTTGATTGTTCGATGAAAAACTTATTATAAATTTAAAATATATAATCACTTACTCCCAAAATTGTAATTATCAAATCATAATTATTAATAAGAAATATCAAACTACTTTTATATTCATCAAAAGCTTTTGCCATTTTTTCAAGAAATTGCTCCAATTCATTCCGTAATCTCAATAGATTATTCGACAAAATTGGATCATTATAATCTTCGTTAAGTATTAATATAGAGGCTGAAAATTCACCATATCGACGTGCTATCTGTAAAGTTTACGAAATCTATATAAGTTATAGAATTTTGTAATAAAAATACATTGTATCACGACTCACATGATGTGGATGGACATCCTTAACTATTAATTTGTTTGTAGCCTTTCTTAGACTTTCAATTTGCATGTCCATAATGGCTTGAAATCTAGGCCATAATAACATATTTGTTTGATTAGTGTATCCTTCAAGTGCAGGAACACGTCTTCTCTGTAATTCTAATGCAAATTGTGTGTTGAGTCGAATACAGAGAAGTATGCCGATGGCATCATAAGTGGTTTCAACATATTGTTTTGTAGAATTCTATCAAATAAAAAAGCTTATTAATAAAATTATTATCAAAAACCAAACAAAGTTTACTTTATTAAAGACGGTAAGCATATATGTACGAACCAAGCCCATTTTGATGGTTGTATCAAAAATTTCTGCAAAAATGTCCCTTGCCCAATCGACGTTGGGTTTTTCATCCTTGGCGAAGA